GGTATATATAGGATTCATAAACGCGTTTGTTCTTGCAGCATCCTCTCTATACGTTTTGATTTATCCGAGTGACAGCTTTTCGATCGCGATGATGGAAGCAACATGATGACGCATTCCCGACTTAAAGGCTGGAATTTCTGAAAAATAAAAACGAGGTTTTTATCTTATGAAATATAAAATTGATAGAAGATTACTAGAGAAATGACAAACATATTTTATTGTCTCGATAACAGACATTTTATGCATATTATCCATATCTCTAGTGTAATAATTGTTTTAATATTGTTAATCTAGTTGTAAGATTGTTTTAGAAAGATTTAATGTTGTTAAGAAAAATATAGATTTGCCTAAAAAAAAGAAATATTTTTAATTAAAACGATTAAATGAACAATATTTGTAAATTAAAAAAACACATTAAATTTTGCAGGGAATATTTTATTATATTTTACTATATGATTTTCTATAATTTAGTATAGAAAATTTTAAATACTTTTATTTTTTTGAAGCATTTTTATTTCATGTATATTAATATATTAAATTAAAAATGTTTTGTACATTTTGAGATTATAAACATAACATTTCTTATAAATATTAAAATTTTTAAAAAAAAAGTATCCTCTAGAAAAACGTAATAGTAATAACCGATTAATTAGAGTATTAATGAAGAACCGAATCGATTATCATTTTTTTCTTTTTCTCTCCACGATAATCTTTAGAAGATTATTATATAGAGAATTTAAATTAAAAACTCAGTAACCGTTAAATAAATTTTCTTTCGGTTCCGTGGAAAGTATGCTTATCCACATTCAGTATATAAAATGAAGTATATTTCTATGTTGAAATAAAAATATGACATTGATTAATCAGTAAAAATGATACAAATGCATTTTAACTTTTTCGTTTACGAGAAATTTAATCGAATCGAATTGACGATGCGCTGAATATTAACAGGCAACGATTTTGCTCTCTTATATTTAGAAGAAAAAGAGAAAGAAAAAGTGCGCGGCTTGCAATCTATGTTACTAATACATTTACGTACAAAATAACGAAAATTTCGAACATGGATAAAACTTAGTTGAATTAAATGTAGGTGTTTAGACCACCGTTCGGTGCTTTTAGGATAATTCTGTTTCATTCCTGTTATTATCATCAAGGGATGATCCATTATCTTTAAATGATTATTTCTAATAATTTCATAAGTACATGCATAATACCAAAACGTAATTGACTATGCGCTCATGTTAAACGTGACAATGCATTATTATTCGCATGTGGCTATCGTAATTAAATTTAATTTATAATGATAACACAATTTATGACAACGCATAAATTCAAAGAGGATTTTAATGTAGATTATAATAACTTTATGATTTACAAATTTTATCTTAAATACGATAAAGATTTTGGTATAAATGCTAGTTGTTGTGCAAGAAGTTCTATTTTTATTCTGAACTTTTCAAAATTCTTGAAAAGAGAATATAATGTTAATGATAATAAAAGATTTAAAGGACACTCAATGAATAAGTCAAACTGGTACAATCCAACACGACCAGTTTCGTCCTTTGACAGAGTAGAGAAAGCAGAGAATCCATGCATTGGTTACGACACATTGAATTCAGTAATTCCTTTGACTTTGTGCAAAGCATTCTGCCTTTCTCATTCAAGGTGAACATCAAGTCAAACTTCTGATTGCAATGATCGACGATCCGAGGGTATTTTCTCAAATATTAACATTTCAGTACGGAACGATGTTAGTCAATCTGTCATCGATTCAGACGATTCCATCATTTCATATTCCATTTCTACAGCGTGATTAAATATACGAGACTGCTGTCTACGTCTTTCACAGTTTATTAAACATTTGTTCCAATTTTTTTATGTTTTCATCTTTTTAAATCTTGATTTTATGAATAGGGATCTCTTATTATTCTGAGTCTAGACTAAAAAAAAGAATGGAGCTAGAAATTATACTTTATTTTTAGTTTTTTAACAATTTAATAAATCAAGAAATACGTTAATTAATAATAACAAAATGTAATCTTAAAGCTAATTAACATGAAGTTAAGACAAAGTTAATATTCTGAGAAAATTTATTCTAACAAAGAAGTACTACACTGAGAGAAAAATGTACTAAAGTTTAATAAATATTTGTGTAAATTGTGCCAATTGAATATTTCTTAAATGTTAACATGTATTTATTTGATATAATAATTATTAATTGGATTTAATTAATAAATTTTTTTATTTAACAAATATTCATTTTCATTAAACAAATGTTATATTAATATAATCAAATAATTATTTATTAAAATTTAGTACATTTTCTCAGTGTAGAAATACAAGTTAATGAAACATTGTTCTCTTATTTTTTTCAAGAAGGAAATTATTTCACACACCACATGCAAATATTCAATTTTTCACTTCTAAAAATTGTGTAATAGTATGAAAGCATATCTTTTGTATATTCGTCGAATAGCTGTGTCAAAATTCAGACACGTTAACATCAAACGGCAAATGCAATATGTAAAGTTTGTTGAACATGTTTGATTATCATATCGAATTTATAAAGATGAGTAAATGTCTAGTATCTATACTATCAATCGCAGATTATTGATCTTGAGGCCAAATAATTCGAAGAAACCATCTCGTAATTATATCGTTTATCTAGGAATCCGCGATAGTCCAAACATTTGTCAATTAATTGGATGTTTGATATTTGTAGACGAAAAAAAGATTATAATACTTCAAATTTTTATTATATAATTAGCGTCTTTTGCATTTACTCTGTTTTACGATTTTTTTTCCATTTTACACTTCAAAATTAATATTAATATTATTCGATAACTATTGATATTTCCAGTATTCAAGATAGATGCGAATCTATTTTCCATGTTATATTGCAGAATAGCGTAATATAATATTAGAAGTAACAACATGTAATATTAATTTTAGTTTGAAAGTAAAGTTTGAAACTTGGTTAGATGTTGAACTTTATTCGGTATTTTTAGAGAGATGCAGAAGATGCTTGTGGTAAAATTGCTCTTCACGAATCAATCTTCTCGGTAGCCCACGTTTCTCTTTCCTATCTTGAAAATCCTGGAATCAGTTATAGCTGATATATCACTTACGCTTGTGTTTTAATTTAGTTTGAAATACCCTTATATCGTTGGTTAACTTATTACAACAATTATTATCAACAATATTTTTCATTCAAATATCTGATTTCTAACTTTTTACGACTTATTTGCGCTAATTATAGAAATAATTATAGAAATTCCTGTTTAGATATTGCACAAATTCTATACTTATTCATCGCATTGTTATGATAATTTATTATTATATTTAGAAGACTGGATTTGAGTTTAATAAAATAGTAAATAATTTATCACAAATAACTTATAAAGAAAAAATAATTTATTATTAACGTATTTATATTGCAATATATGCGAAAGCTGAAGATATACTGTACGAATTTAGATTCTTAAAACTCAGTTCCGATTCGCAAACGTGGAAAGCATTTACAGAATACGTAGAAGTTTGTTTGTGTACCTTCAACAGATTGGTTAAATTTCCGTCAAAATACGCCAACCGTAGGGAGTTCATAGGACGTGTATAGAAAAATTTGATTGCCACGGAACTGCATTGGGTACTGAAATATGACTTCCTGGTGCGGTTGTCCGTGGTTAATTCTGTACCACTATTTCGAGAGAAGTACGTGAGCGCTATTCCAGAGCGGTAAAATACCGATTCCGTTAGTGCTCCGTTTTTCACGTCGAACAATGTCATCGATAAATTAAAGCACACTTTTAACACAAGAACATGATCGCACGCAATGTCGCGTTCAACTTGATTGCAATCTGCAATTAAACACTTTCCGCGAAATATAAGATAAAATGCAAAAACGGTGATAGACAAATTTTATTAAACGTTGTATGTATCATTCCTATTTTTATTTAAATAATCAATGCTTATCGGAATTATATAGGTCATTGCTTCGATGTGTCTTTTTCCAACTATTTTTTGTCATTTTACATGGTGCATCGTGATTTTTTCATGATTTCTCCGTGTTCAAAGTAAATCACAAAGCTTTGCGACATAGTCTAAGTATGTAATATTGCATCTGGAATCCCTGTTCGTAATACAGATTTTATTAAACTTGCAAAGTGAATTGCATTTATCGTACAGTGTGAATCAGAAAAATTTTGCGCCGCGAAAGACGAGAGTTTCTGTATGTCTCCTCTGTGTCATAAATATTTATGAATTTTTTAGTTTCATGCTTTTATGTGTAAGATTGCTGCAGCATATTAATTAGGTAGATACGTTAGGGTTAACTCCGGTATATACGCCGTACCTCAACTTTATTATTTAAACTTTATTATTAAGTACTATTTACTATGTTTAAAGTAAACGAACTATATCAGTATAAAAACTTTGTACTGTTTACTTGAAAAAAATATTAGAAATCCGAAATATTTATATTTTATATTAAAAAATGAATTTTTTTAAACGAAATGCTTGCATTTTTGTCGTATATTCTATAGAGAATATATGGCTACTCATAGAGGGAGGGGGGGATATGTATAGCTAAAAAATTTACAAATAATGCATATTAATAAGACGTAAAATGATACAATAATTTACAAAATATTAAAAAATAAGAATGATAAATGTGTATATGAAGTAATAAATAATAACTACAATCTTTCCAGATGTATTACAAGTGTTATGACATGAGATACATATTTCATGTAATGCGTTTATTGTATTTAGTGATTCTGATATTTACTAAATTCAATCTACGCACTTTGTATGCTTTGGGCATAAATCTTGCCGGTTAAAAATGCCATATATTAGATATAGTAAAAAGAAATCCATTATTTTTCCATTCAATTTCATGCAAAAATAATGGATTTCTTTTTACTACACCTAATATATCCCAAACAGATGAGATATACAAGACAACAAATTAAATAAAAAATACAAGAGCAAAATACTTGTATTTTGTTATATAACATACTTTACTATTCCTCTACATTCATATCATGAAATAACCACTAATAATAAATCTTTTGCACGTTCTACAATAATCATTTATGTAGATTACAATTTATGATAATGCTACTTAATATAATGACCA